CTTGGTTACAGTATTTCGATACATTGTGTCAAAAGCAAACTGAAATCTGTGGAAGCAACCATTTCTCTCAGCCGCACTATGTTTGAAGGGGGGATTGTTGCCATTTCCGTCTACGATCATTGCAACCAGTGGCTATGTTGTGGTTTGTCTTACTGCAGATAACAGGGTTAACTTGACTATAGAATGATCTGAGCTGCAAGTGGTGCCCGATTGGCGACCAGGAATATTTGTAGATTATTGGCAAATACGAAATCCAGGATTGCCTCTAACCTGATGGGATATTTTATCTTATTCTGTAGCCCAGAGGTAGTAAGCAATGTGATGTTAAATCTGTTGAACTCACCAGTATATATGCACAGAGACTGGTCGATTTTCCCAATGACCAACCGTAAAATCATCGTAAAATTTATCTTCTTCTGAGTTGGGAAGACTGGTATATATAGATATTGACCAGTAATAATGGGTGGTACCCGTTCAGATATTTTGGTTTGCACTTTAGGTTCAAACAGTCCATACATCGTGACGAGTAGCAGAAGGCGCTTTGCACTGGTGGGCACCAAGAGGCGTTACTTCAGGTTGTCACCGCCGCCACGATTCGGGTAGGTGCATGGGTGATCAGCACGAAAACAAATAAGACGGTCAATCGCAACAACGGTGTCTTCAACATCACTATGGAGCCATGTCTCTTGTAGCATAATGATTTAAAGTGTGTCTTCACGACAATTAATAATCCTTTTAAAGTCATCCATTTTTCCCAGGTGCGAATAGACATTGGCGATTTACTAAGCGGCTACACTCATGCTTGTCAAGTTTTTCTTCCTCAAAGCAACTTTCCACCCTGCACGATGCTTTTTTACAGCTTCTTCTTATTTTATTCCTGATCGATTATCCTTGTTGACTTGCGCCGAAACACGTAACGACTTCGGAACATCGCGGTATAGGTCACCATGGGAATGATTGCAGTAAAGAAGAGTAGGTGAGTAAAACAATAAATATTCAGGAAGTATCATCGAAAACGTGTGGGTCAATAATTCCTTAAATGGGTAAAATTTAGAGCACGGCCAAATTTAAAGGCCACGCCGGAAGCACCGATCGATTTGGGTTGTTTTTTACTCGATACGCGTTTGTGATAAAAGACAGTACTATCTATACAGAAGCGGTAGTTAACGAAAATTTAGGCAGTGGTCACCATCTCAGTACGCCGTGGAGTGCAGTGTTTTCGGGCGAAGAACATCCATTATCTGTCTGCTTCATCAGCTACGGTTCCAGTGGTCGAATTTATCAAAATTCACCTTAATGTGAATCATGACCCACATTGGGATTACGCGTCTCAATCGATTCACACGAGGGCTTCAAAGTGACCCTCCAGTCTCCCATATGCTTTCCAGCTTGCGCTGAATGACCCGATTTCGAGTTCGCGCCATCGTCAACTGCCCAACAGGCTGAAACTGCAGTCTAGTGCTTTTCCGGGCATGTGGACGACTATGTGATTTGGAAACTGACTTCGAAGAACCTCACTTAATTAAAAGAGTTTATAGTCGAGCGAAATCAAGGTTCCACTCGGTGTCTTCGTATAGTCTGCGGTATCAGATTGCGGATTTGCCTGTTACTGTGGCCTTCATAGGACAGCCACAGGACGGCTGCGCCAACAGAGAGACTATGGGTGGCCTGCGCTTCGTCACCCATAGCTCCATCCACTCACCCATATCCAGTGTAAACCCGAAGGGATAAGATCGGGAGACATGTGGATGGGAGCCACGTTTCACCAACGGAGTCGGTCCACACTCCTTCAGCATACACAGCAGCAGCATTCCAATGTATCTGATTAAGGAATCATGCGTATCAGACGTATACAATGTCGTGGTTGGGATATAGTCCTTTCCACACTGGATGGAACCACTATTTGAGCCTAGCACAATCACAAGGACCGTGCACTCCGTCTCCCCAAGCAACGGCCAATTGTCTCCTGAAGCCAGTATAGTCGAAGTAGCAGTTTTTCAGCGGGAAGGCAGCTTGTCAACATCAAGCGCAGATACACCGGGGTATCATGCAGAAACCACAGAACATGAAGGAAATTAAACACGCAAACTAATCAGTAAATGTGCGGCAATATGACAACAGAGCGCAACAAAAAATGTGTATCAAATCTGATCAAATGTAAGGGCAACTCCGGCCAGTGTATGTCAGGGGATATTATCCATCTAACAATGAAGGCAAAGAATAAACGCGCAAAATAAACATGGAATATACGGACAAATAACAGAAATGAGCATATATAATAACATTGAATTAGTCAGATCTACTGTATTACGGAACAAGTGTGAGTTGCTCCAGCCCGAATGCGGTGTAGAAGCACAGTAAATTCAACACAAACCTCAGCACGAGGCGCACACATATATACATGATTAGTGGTATCTGGTTCCGGATTCGTCTGTCACCGTGGCCTCCGTATGCCAGCTATAGGACGCCTGCGCCCTCAAAGAGACCATGGGTTTCTCCGTATACACTACTGTAAAGTGTCTTTGAATGGAGAATTTTGTTTGTGTCATGTAAATGCGGCCACTCAATAAAAACAGTACCGACTTAACTAGCGTTTCATTTGGCCCAACTAGAGAGTAACCGAAAAGCTTTGGAATTTAAAAATACAATAGCGACTGTCTTAAGTTGTTATGGATCAATTTTCCATAAGCTTGACATTCGTCGGTAAAACAAGTTGTGCGCTTTGTTTGATTATCATTAAACTTGCTCCTAGTGTGCATCATTTGCTCGCAGTTATCTCACTAGTGTCCACTTCTTATCTTCCCTCGTTATGCATTCCTTCCATCAAGTTAGCCGACCGTGTTTTCCACTCATATCCACCATCACAATAAGCTGCTTCTCAATGTTTGATTCCCTTCTCACATCGAAGTATTTGATGTTTTTACTTTATCGAATCGACCAATAGGGGACTCTTGCACTGTGAATCCCACTGGTGTGGATGTATCTGTGAACCGTTCCTACTGGACATCGTGTCGTAACGCATATCCGACTGAATTATCATGTCACCAACGACGCCGTTTCGGAGTTAATTGCCGTCGCACCAATCTATCTCTTTCACTGCACATAGCTCTTAGTCTTTATGACAGCTGTACAAATATTCACATCCCGTTTCCTGATGCCTTTCGAAAGAATTGTCCACGCTGCCATCATCTACAAAGTGCGCAGTGCAGTCTGGGGCAGAACTTTGAACTGAAGCACGTCCTCGGACCCAGGACCTACCTCAGTACACGACTCTCTGTCTACCGAACTTGATAAAGTACCGACTTCGAGGAACCTCCTTAGCCGGCATTCCCCGAAGCTGCGATACAAATCCCCATAGGGTCAGCCACCACCCCTCTTTGTGATGGATGAATCGAATACAGATTGAAATCGCTTCCTGCACGTCTTAAAAAGCCTTTAAGCTCCACTGCTCGGTCGGGAACATCTGAACGTTAAGGGGATCTTTCCGGTATCGATCAGTTTGATTGGAGTACGAGAGATGACTCTAGGCAGTACTCGAGTTCAGGGACTGCACCGCTCTTATCTGATGTGTCCTGTGGTTCACCACGATTGCGAGTGACCCTCGTTTGCTTTTGACTGTGTACAAGGATACATTATAATTTTCCCTAACGCTATCATGTCATTTTTGAAGCGAGAGGTTTGGGAAAACGTGATAGGACAAGCTGCCTATTGTGAGAGCAATCGGTAAGGGATCTGTCCACAGGCAAGTCGACTTGAACGTTGGGATGAATGCTCGGAGGACATTTCCACCCATTTTATGTGTATCTATTATTTGTTGGGTCACTTTAGTTCATGGACAACGTACCACGCCCGCATCTCCCCCCCCCACCCGATGTTGGTTTGCGTTAGGTTGGTGACTATCGATCACCACAGCTCATCGTGATCCTACTCTGGTAGCTCACTTGTCATAAGCTCTTCATCGGTTTCTTTTGTGGTAACATGTATATTCGCTGAATCTTTTCTCTATATCGAGAGCTTTAGTCATTTGATCTATCTGTCACGATGGTCTCCCTCGACCCGGTTATCTTTGATTCGGTCGACCTGAGACATTGTTCATCATCTTACACTGCGGTAATGTCACCTCTTCTGGAAATGTAGCTGGTGAGGGTTTACTTCCAAAGACCATGCTATGACGCTTCATTCAATTACCTGTTCACCATTTTGAGTTCTTTGACCTGCACCTTCATGTTCATTATTCGTAAAATTAATTCTTCCCCACAATCCCCATGTTGAAGAGTGGCAGCTCTCGTTTTCGCTCTGTAAGGCATCTGTTGAGGAACGAAATGTACGCACGTATGTATCGATCCGTTTCTGTGCAATTGGAGTGGTGCCTTGGGCTACGAAGCAAACAACAGGGGACTACAAATGGGGTCATATCACGGCACCCTGCCGCCGGTCTACATTCATCTCAGTTTGTGAGCATGCCCGACGTTTTTTCAATTGCGTGTACGCAGTTTCACACCTCCTGCGCATCCAATTTAACAGACAGTATCCGAAAGCGTTTGGTCTCTATTGTTTTGGTGTGCGCTCCCATCGGTTGCAGTTCTGGCGACGACTCATCCGTGTGGATAGTGACTCAGATATTGTGGTCCTAGCAGGTGACTTGAGCATCCGAGTAGATTGTTTGTAGAACTTCGAGCAGCAGCTACCATGCTATCTCGTGGCTGACGCCTATTGGATAGTGATGGTGATCGCATTCTTCAACCTGGTACTACTACATCCTTATTAGGTACACAGATGCTCACATGATTTCGCCTGACGCCATCGAGCACGATGGTGTCTTAAGCATCGATGGAACACACGACCATCAATGGCAACTGGTACACCTCAACGCTGGATTGTCGATGCATCTTCCATTCCCTAGCCTATTTGGTAGACTGATACGTCACGTGTCGAACTTTGGGTTTCACCACCTTTGCTATATTTCACCAGTGTTCACTGTTCATTCTATTACCCTGTAGTATGCACACAGGCACGGGATGCCCAGAAAACCTCCACCCTCCGGCCTTAATGTGTATATTCGTGAGAAGTTGTCTGACTTAAAAGTGAGTTATCCATTGCCAATGTTATATATGCTGTGCCTTAGGACATTTTCACCGTTGATGATGCTGTTTCCTTTGTGGGGCCATATTTTACTTTTATCATGGTTCCCTATTAATACTTTTCGATATAAATTGTATTATGCGACATGGTAGCCTTCAGAAGGCTTTTTATTCTGTTTCCGAACTCCAGTCTAAGAAGTGAAATCTACAACTACTTAGCTAGGCCGCCTTCACTGATCTGCATCCGCTGAATACCGGTTTCCTGACCTAATGTATCGGCCGTTGTTGTCACCTTTCGAGATCCCCATTAAGGTGTGCCACTTAGTAAATCTGACGCCCTAAGACCCCGTCTTTCACATCATCCCCGCATATCGAACATGTCTTCAAGCTGCTGTGGCATCAACCTAACTCCTCCTAATAAGCACTCTTAAATTACTGCACCCACTTCACCCCGGTTTAGATTCATTCTCCTCTTGACCAGGACAGACTTTTACTGTAATCTGCACTTCTAATTGACCTTGTTTTGCAGTACCTACTCAGTGGCGATGGTGTTGCACTTGTCTGAATTTCACCAATACATATACAAAAATCTTACTTATGTCTTTGCTCTGAGACATTATCGCTCGACGTCTCTGCCTTACAGGCCCGACAATGTCTTCCTGGCGTTCCACCATATCTTCATGGACAGCAGCTTTTATAGGTTTTTATGTGTCCATATTCACTTCCATTGTGGCATGAAAGTCACCGAGCAAAGTTGGGTCAACAGCCCAATGTTCGACCGTGGACAACGGGCACTTCTATGCCTCTCCATGGATTCATAAAAGCCGCAAACCACTTTTTTATAGTACTAACGCTGGCACTGCTGAGCTTCGCTGCCTTCCGTGATTCTTCTATTCTACCTGACTGATGGCCCATTTATCTATTTTTCAAACGACCACAACAGTGTGGACATTATACAATCTGCTGCGTTTGACTTCTAATCACGCTTCCATTACCTTAACTCTTGGTGACCCCACTTGGTTTTGTCCTAGCGGTCTTGGCATCTGCTCGGTTGTTGCTCATGATGGTTTATCAACGAGTCAGGTGCTCACCGGCCTGCTCCAGTAAGAAGCATCTGCGCGACATCTGTTCGAATAAACTTGCTCTCTTTCGTTGTCTTAATGTTTGGAACGAACGTGGAAATGCATTCTGGTGTGCGGCGGTGGGAATCCCTAGCTAGCTACAACCAAACCGGAAACTGAGCTGGGCTGACATGGTTCGTATCTTTGCTAGAATGTTGGTAGGAAATTGCAAAGCTGTTGGGCCAAACAAGTTCTCTGACCGACTGCTACAATTCCACACCACATTCCATACTCTGCCGTTGCCGCCCCATTGCACTTTTTTGACACTTGTCAATTTTTGATCACATGTGTTTACTTTCAGTCACCGTTCAGTATGCTTATTTGTCTCTTTATGAGTGTTGTCCTGCCCTCCACCTCCCAATATACCGCCACAGGGCCAATCGCTTTCGAAGACTGCAGTCAAATTTGCTGAAACGGTCAAGGATTGGAAAGCCTTACCTCCTGATGTCCACGCGGTAAGTGACGATGGGCTTCTGTTTTGCAACTGACTTTAATCCGGTGTATAGCGTGATTAATCTTTCAACTGCGTGTGGATTTTTTTTCTAGGAACAATAGATTTATCACGGAGAGAATAGCAAATGCTTAGCAATTTCCGTAGGAAAAGTGTGAGATTAAAAAGTGAATACACCAAGAACAAGCAACGCGTAGCGATGGACTCACTGCTATTTTCGCGTATACGCACACAGTTTGGTTACCTTGTCCCATGTCCTAATAATTTGGGCCAAGTCCTGTAAACTAGCTGGTGTAATACACCATCATGTACTTGTGTCCACTCAACTTAGTTCTTGCAAGAGACTGGCGTCAATTGTATTTGCCGACGCAGGTCACTGCCTTCATTGTGTATTATCGTAATGTGTGTTTTCCTCGTCAACCGTGCCAGAAACACAATTCTGGACGTAAGTTGACCGCTCGTCAGTTATTCTTTATTTAGCGCAATTTTTACTGTTGTGGAGACCACATGGTCCTACAAAAATTCGCTCCGGACGCCATTCACGTCCCCCAATTCTACCATCCATGTTGTCATGACTCGGTTACACGAGGCGTTATCCCTAACAACGTTACTATTTGGCACTTATCGATGATAACATTGTCAGTTGACAGTGACCTCTGTCCTACTCAAGAGACACTGTTGCTGGCTCGCCGATTGCATAATCCTTTTAGTGACACTGTTTTCATGTGGAAGTTACGTCACTTTGATAACCATCTCCGTTCCGTTATCAAGTGTCAACTACGCCTCCCTCCCGATAACAGAGGAACCGTGCTATATATACCAGGCTACGCGGACCATGTTCATTCTTCACTTAGGCTGTAAGAGCACTTCGTTGAAGGTCCTTGTCTTTCTCTCTCGGAGTCGCGAGTACTCGTGTGGTGTCCGTGTTATTCAGTACTGTGAACCAAAACCGTTCACTGACTGTCATCCACGGGGCGCATCTATCCGGAATTAGATCAGTCACTTGTCTGCGAGAGATAAAATGACAAGAGCCGAATCGTTGTTCGGACTAAGCGCGCTGTATACAAGCAAGGATGTTTCAGCAAACTGGTGATGGAGTATTTGCGAACTAGGACAAATGAGTATGTTGCTTTTGTAAATTATGCTGCAGTAACAACTCAAGCTGAACCCCTTTGTAACTGACAAGCTGTCCAATTCATCCATTCAAGCTGGTTGCGTTAGCAGTTCTAAATCAGTGTACCACATTACTTGCAGCATCTCGGAAATTCTGTACAACTCTGGGACCCTCGTCATTTTCGAAACTTGATACAGATGGTGCGAGGGCCTGTTCATTGTTTACCTGGCTTGCCAGGATGATACGTGAAATGTCCGACTGCTTCTGCGCAAACTGTGCATGTTCTAGCATTGGCAGTATGGCAAATTCATCCTTCCGAAAAATCACCGAGGCGTTTCCTTTTTCCATATGGTCCGATGGTTGACGCAAATATTGGCGAACAGCCCTCACCGTTCAACATCCGTTTAAATGTCTGCAGTTGGTCAACCGCGCTACCGACGACTTCATATGCGGGCATCGTCCATCGGGATTGCTAACGACTCCAATTTGGTTACTGTTATGTCGCCATCCGAATGTTCGCATACCCACGACCACAGGAAGAACACGAAGATGAACCATGACCAACTTTTACATGACGAATCTGCTCATTTAAATAGGGCACAGCGGTAGTTGGTCAGGCTACTAAAACACGCTGGAGCCAACCATCAACGTAGGACACACTGAATAATGCAGACGAATAAGAAGTGGCAAACGTAAGAACCATTCAGGTGAGTTCGAGGGAACGGCATTAGTGGAAATAGACCCCTGAGATGACATCCATTCCGAACGACGTGGGCCGGCCAATTAAATTAAAGACTTGATGCGTTTAAACAAGTATCAAGAAACCAACGGTAGCGAAACACAAACAGGTAACTAAGAATTGTAACAAAAAATATATGTCCACTTCTCAACCTCCTAACAGTTACTCTAAAGAATACTAGTTTAAGTGCCTGGTCTTTATCTCTGGCCTCCAGTCCGCCCAAGATGACGAAATCCGAACGCGCCTTTTGTCCAAGATGCAGCAGAACAACACGATTACACTCCAGACGCTGACTGGAGAGTATCAGGTGCTAATCAGCGTCGACCACGACTTTGCCGTCATCCAGAGTGCCTGTGCATCTGGTCGGGTCCAAGTAGTTGTCACCCCCATACCGCGATCTGCCGTGCGACCCACCCAACTCGACCGAGCGAAGTCCCCATCCTTTCCGTGCCAATTCCGTGGCTTCTGGCATTTCCACCGAGACTTCAACTTCCGCCAGCGCTGGTGCCAATGATGTGGCTAGGTGGGGCACCGTGATAGCTTTTATAAACTTCCGTCAACCAAGTTGGCCAAGTTTAGGCTGTCCCCAGCACGCAGTCCAAAGAAGAGGTCACGATTCAGACGCGAGACCAAAAATGGTCCGGTTCGCAGCTCCACGAGCCCGCTGGCCACATTCCTACATCCTGATCAATAGACAACCGGTCTGATTGCACTTGAGTACTGCCTCAGGCATCACAACCATCTTTAAGGACGTTCGTCTATCCCTTGGCAAGCCACCATTCCAGTATATCTCCAAATTTGCCCGCAGTGGTCGCCTGCAGCTTGTTGGGCAAATGCATTGCTCAGTCTCTTTTCGAGTTGTCACATTCGACAGAATCTGCTACATCACAGACGACTGGCTCGATAATCTTGGCTTGTCTGATCTACCTCTTCGGGCTATATGCAGGGCGGTGCAATCTACGACAGCACCGACCACAAACGCGTTCACTATGGCTCACGCTATCAACAATCCACCAAGATGCCACTGCGCCAACCACCAGTCTCTTGGCAACCAACAGGTTTACAGTGATCCGGCGTGCACATCGAATATGCTGCTCAACTGGATGGCGTTTCTTATCTGGTCTTGATCGACGCCTATTCCAAATGGTTCGAATTCGTTCACGTCAACTCACCGACGACAACCGCTACTCTGGCTTGTCCGCAGCGAATCTTCACTCAACGCGGACTTACAGATGTCTTGGTGTCCGACAATGGCTCACAGTTAACGTCTTCGACGTTCGAAGATCTATTGCAGGCTGCATCCAACATCGCTCAGCACTTCACCATCCCCACTCCAACGGTCAAGCGGAGCGTTTTGTTGACACTCAATAAAGCCCTCTTGAATGGTCAAATCGAGTTAAGCCAAATTAAGCTTTATCCACCCGTATGAGTGCATTTTCACACCGACACTGCAGAATATAATACAACAAACTACAAATGAGAAATAACAGTTGACAGCAGTAAACAAAAGTTTGCATCTTCAATCAAGCACACGGTCACGAAAACGGCGTCTCATTCCTGTTGGGTCGATTAGTAAGCGTGATAGAAAAGACAGGATAGAGTTTCGCTTCGGCGTGGTGCGATAATATAAAACTTTAAATTTTGCTCGTGTGGACGAAGTGGATATAGTGCTGGCTAGAGTAGGGTGTAAAATGTGAGTTATTTAAAATCTTGGATGCAAAGTTGATGCATGCATCGAAATGTTTGTTAACAATGAAATCTATGGGGTTTCTTTCCATACACTAGAGCAGCGAGAAATAACTTAACGAATGGACAAGGAAGACATAATCATTTTGACGTAGTCCAAAGAAAATAACCGGGGGACAGTATAACCAGTGAGGGAAAATACATGCGATCACAAACCGTAGAATTAAAGCACGGGGAACGAAAAGTATTTTAATTCTGAGGGCGTAGAGATCCTTCTAACTTTTTAAAATGTTTCAAGAACATCTGTGGACCAAACTAAATTGCGAAATAGAAAAACTCCTGGATATTTTAAGGTAGATGTGCGAGGTATGCTTTGATCATCTACAATCACGGGAGGGGAGATATGTTTCAAGGGGCTGCAGTCTGTTTGGTTATTGAAAACAGCACGTTACCTCACAACATTTGGAAGGGTTGAGAGGGACCGGGAACTGGACCAAGTCACCAGTTCATCTAACCCTCATTGGAGTTTCAAAGAGTCCTCGATGATTGGGGTTATGCAACCCAGGACGACGTCATCAGCATATTTACAGCCTATGAAGTTTGACGGAATAGGGAGACTTTCGACGTAGGCGGTGAAAGGAAACTGTAGACGAATTTCCTTAAGTGTTTCTGCTCTCTTAAAAGAACACACCAAATTCAGTGGCCCCAGGTGGTCATTTTCCTGCCGAAACATTGTTGGGTCAGAAGCTGCACACCGCTACGAGGCGCTTATCCCAACCGAAGGACTGCCAACACGACATGCCGTCTTCAGCAGTCGCAATACTTTCGTCCTTGGAGCCCCGTTATACGCTCGGAACTATCGAGCTAGTCACTCACGCTGGATCGAAGCAATAATGACGGCCCATCGAGGTGATATGCTGCATGATGTCGCCGTGGATAGGGGCACATGGGTCCGGCCACGACACGGAACAATTTACACGCAGCGCATCTTCCGCTGCACATCCTGTTGGACACTTTCGGAATTGCGGAAGAACAATGAACATCGGCGGAAGCCGGTCAACCATCGCCTAGTCTCGAAAAACTCTTCAGAATGAAACCGCAGATCGCCAAAATCGCTGCAGTTTAGCCCTCGTCAGAAACCGTACAACCTTGCTTCAAGGGGTGTCGCGGATACATCAAACGATTTCGTAAAGATCCGCGGCACGGACGTCAATGCTCGCATGCGCAATCAATGGGCTACGCCGCGTGGCTTCCAAACCACGACGTGACATGGTTTTTATGAACAAGCTCCTGCCGCCAAAACTAACCCGGCGCAATAAGTCATGTGTGCTATAACTAACCAAGTGGGTGTCTCAACTTATGTCGCCGTGCGTCCGTGCAAATTTCTGTCCTTCCTTCTCTCTGATGAGCGGTGCAGTCGTGAGATCACGTTCGCCTTGCATTTCGTGCGCCACTCAACTGGCAGAGTTTCTGTCACCGTCTATCCGTCGGCTATGCTTTGCGTGGGAACGGTATTAAGCGAGCGTTCAATGCGTGCGTCCAAAGATATGAAAATCAACGACACCAACAAATTGGTCCGGGAATTAACCAACCAGTCTGTGGTTGAGGCCACTGAGCTACGGAGAACAGCAACGACCATCGTGACTAAGTTACTAGGTTTACTGTAGCGCCGATCCTTATTCACTGCTTTTTCCGGGCCTGTGATGGCTATCTGACTGAGTCTGGATGTGATGAATTTCTACCTCTACAATTCAACTCCCTCCACTACTCCATTGAAATCAACCAACCAGTTTACGCTATACTGATCTTGTGTTTTCCAGTTATTAATCCAATTTTTCGGATTGCACTTAGGTTCTGATACATCGCTAAAAACATGTGTTACAGTTGAATATTCACTCGTCCAGGGTACCTAAAGCGCTCTCATGACATGGCTTAAATTCGAACTTTTAATTCAGCTAATGTATAAGACGATAGGGTGTTGCTCTAGGAGGCCGTATTTACACACACGGCTGTCTGCAGCTGTTAGGTTTTTAAATAGAAGCCAGCAATCCTTCTGCCGGTGCCTATTTCTTGAGAGAGATCACCAAATTTTGCATTGTGATGGATCCACGAAATTCTGAAGCACTTGTGATGCCACCAGTTATTGGCACTTCCCTTGAAAGTCTATCTTACGAGGTACGTAACTCTGGATCGTGACGGAGTCCATGTCTGCCGTGTTGTTTGTGCGGCACTGCTAGTTAGGTGTTGGGCAGATGTATGAGACAACGCGGTTACTACGGTCTTTCATCGACAACGAAAGGGTGCTTGTAAATTGTCCCCGTCACTCGGAAGTGGTGATGGTCGTGCTAAATCGTTTCTCCCATTACCGGATTCTCGGCCGTTGTTGGTTCCATGCAAGTTCGGTGTGTGTACAAAAGGGTGGGAATATCCGAAACATGTGTAATTTGACGCCGTTTTCTGACTACACACGACATACCTGTCGTGTTCGTTTATGTATCTTTTAAAGCGGTGATTGCTTCTCGAAACCGTACACCTATTTACTAACTCTTCTCTCTCTCGCTTGCAGTCATACTCAAAAAAGGCACAAGACCTCAAAGCCTGCTACGAAAAGGATCTGGAGTTATGGGCTGCTGAGCACGACATTCAATTCACCAAAAACATCCCTCTTCTCGCTTCTCGGCTGTACGACCGCATGCTCAAGCGATCCGCTGAAACGCCGCAAGAATCTGCGCAATTCACCATTACATCTCCGAGCAAGGAGCTAAACCACAAAGCGGAATCATAGAGTGTTATATTCTCTGCATTTGTTTGGTGTGACATTGAACACACTGCTACGGAGACCGACTTTACGTGCTTTGCATTTAGGGGGTAATTTATTTTTCTCGCAAATGATTCCTCCTCTCATGCACTGTCTTCTCACAAGATTCAGGCATATGATTTTCGGTTGTTCCGCGATACACCTTTTTTATTCGGTTCCTGTAAATTATACATTATCAGTTTCGGCTATCTGGTGGAATTATCATTCCGTTTCTATTCGTAGACGATTTCATCTCTTTCATGCATACCATTAATAGATACCACTCAAGCGGCCGAAATCGGATCAATTAAAGTATATGCTCTCTAAAAAGCGCCTTATTTCTGCACTTAGTCCAAGTTATTCGAAATTCATTGAATTCGTGTACAATTCCATCGCCATCAGCCGCTTTGTTCGATCACGTCACTAATCCTCATCCCACCGATTGTCTACTTTACGCACGTGATTATGGGCTTCGTCAGCCTTCTATCAAGTGTTCGTTGTATTCGTTCAATCGGTTTTAGGTGCCACGATCACCTTACATTAGCTTTTCTTCATTTCATTGGGTGCCACATAAACCAACTACTCAGCCTCCAAATCCCGTTAAATTTTGCCGCTCCACTTTATATATATATATATATATATATATATATATATATATATATATATATATATTCGCGTAGAGCATGAGCGTCTTGCATTGTCTCTGACGGTAGGAGGGCCCCTCCGGGTTTCCAATGGTTTGCTACTGTCAAATTCGCGCAAACAAGCCGAAACCCACCTGCGTCTGGCTGTGGTCACCGTTGTATCATTCTACCGTCGCAGAGAGCACTTACTCAGCTGCGAAACGGCAAGTGTGCCAGTGCCGACGGGATCCCGCTTGAAGTATTGAAATGCGGTGGACCCGCATTGGTGGCTACACTGCGCCACTTGGTGCAACACGTGTGGATTGCGGAGGAGGTGCCTCCTGAACTGAAGGATGCCCTTGTGCTACCACTGTACAAGGGCAAAGAGAGCAAGCAATGTTATACGAATTAATGTGGCATCAACTTGCTAAATTGTGTGGGCAAGGTGATTGCCCGAATCCTGCTAAGCCGACTCGTCAGTCAGGTTGTGGAACCTAACATGTCGGAAGAGCAGTGTGGATTGCGTTCGGATCGAAGCACTATAGATATGGTGTTTGCGGCTCGTCAGTTGCAGGAGAAGTGCAGAGAACGACACCAGCTCTTGTACTCGCTTTTTGTTGATTTCACCAAGGCATTTGATACGGTGAACCGCGAGGCATTGTGGCTGGTGTCGGGTAAATTTGGTTGCCGCGTAAGTTTGTAAGTTTAATGGAGTGTCTGCACAGTGGTATGCGAGCGACGGTGTAGCTAAGAAGAGAGAACTCGGATGACTTTGCAGTTATCACTGATGTGAAGCAAGGATGTGTCTTAGCTCCTTCTCTGTTTACTATATATCTTCATGCCATGATGTCTTGTGCTTTTGATGCGGCTTATGCTTACGGTGTTCGTGTGGAGCACCGTATTGACGGTGGATTGCTGAACATCCGTCGTTTCGGTGCGAGAACTCTAGTCTGCGAGACAACTATCCGTATGTTACTGTTTGCTGACGACTGTGCGTTTTTTGTACATAGCGCGAATGAGTTGCAGCACATGACTAGTGCTCTGGCTTCGACAGCGGCCAAATTCGGGCTCACCATCAACACAAGCAAAACTGTCTGTCTTTTTCAGCCTTCACCAGAGGTGCAATCTTCCATATTGCTGAAAATCAGCATTGGTGCTGAAGTATTAGAAACGACCTCCCACTTCTGCTACCTTGGGAGTGTGATGTCGACTGACCAGCAGCCTTGCAACCTCGCCGAGAAGCAAGGAAAATTCTCGGCCGGCCCGTAAAGGTGACGGACGCGACCGGCCAACACCAAAGTCGCCTCATCCGCGTTAGGTATTTAACTTCCGGCACCGAGTTCCCAGTCGACACTGGAGCCGAAGTTAGAGTCATACCCCGTAGCTCAGATGAGATAGTCTCACTCTCGGCGACCAAGCTGCGTGCCGCCAGTGGCACACTAATCGCAACTTTCGGCGAAAAGCTGCTAACGCTCAACTCAGGCCTCCGGCGAACCTTTCGCTGCCGTGCCTTTCGCCATCATAGACATAGACTTTCTTCAACGCTTCGACCTCATCACCAACGCTAAAAGGAAGAAGCTTATCGACTCTAGGGACACAGCTCAGTGTTATCGGGACTAGCGCCAACGTGGCTGCTATCACTCCCATTCGTGTCCTACCTCAAGCTTCACAGCCTTTTCTAGAACTTTTCAGCAAGCACCCTAAACTCGTTCGCGCCCTGAACGACTTGCCTCCTGTGACGTCAAACGTCATGCATCACATTTGCACTAAGGGTCCATCTATTTCGGCCTGCCGTCGCAGACTAGCCCCGGACAAGCTCAAAGCTGCTAAGGTGGAATTCGAGCAAATGCTCGAACTGGGAATAATCCGCCCGTCCGAAAGTCCATGGGCATCACCATTACACATAGTGCCGAATAAATCCGGTGACTGGCACCCCTGTGGTGACTATAGGGCACTTAACAAAGTTGCAGTCCAGGATAAATACCCCATTCCGCACATGTATGACTTAACCTCAGTTCGAGCTGGTAAGTCGATCTTTAGAAACATCGACCTAGTTCACGCCTACCATCAGATACCTGAGGCGCCAGATGACATTGCTAAAACAGCAGTCATCACACCATTCGGCCTATTCGAGTACCTCAAAATGCCTTTCTTCCTCAGAAACGCTGCTGAAACTTTACAACGTTTCATTCATGAGGTAACGTGAGGACTCGAAGGCGTTTAGATGACATTCTTTTCGCCAGCTCTTCTGACGATGAACATTTTCATCATCTGGACGCTGTCTTCCAACACTTGACGCAATACGGGGTTACCGTCAACCCGATAAATGTGAGCTTAGCCAAAGCTCCATCGACTTTCTTGGCCACCGAATATCCGCCTCTGGTATTGTTGCTCTACCAGCCAAAATCCAGGCACTGAAGGACTATCCTGCTCCTACTTCCTTCAAACAGTTGCGCCGATTCCTTGGCCTGGTCAACTATTATCGACGCTTTATTCTTAACCGCGCGAGCATTGTTCAACCAATGACTGACTTACTCCGCGGTAACCACATGTGATGCATGACGTTTGACGTCACAGGAGGCAAGTCGTTCGGAGCGCGAACGAGTTTAGGATGCTTGTTGAAAAGTTCTATAAAAGGCTGTGAAGCTTGAGGTAGGACACGAATTGGAGTGATAGCAGCCACGTTGGCGCCGGCGTCGATAATACTGAGCTGTGTCCTAGAGTCGATAAGCTTCTTCCTTTTAGCGTCCACGATGAGGTCGAAGCGTTGAAGAAAGTCTATGCCTATGATGGCGAAAGGCACGGCTGCTACTATAAAAGGCCAGCGAGAGGTTCGCCGGAGGCCTAAATTGAGCGTTAGCAGCCCTTCGCCGAAAGTTGCGATTGGTGTGCCATTGGCGGCACGCAGCTTGGTCGCCGAGAGTGAGACTATCTCATCTGAGCTACGGGGTATGACTCTAACTTCGGCTCCAGTGTCGACTGGGAACTCGGTGCCGGAAGTTAAATACCTAACGCGGATGAGGCGACTTTGGTGTTGGCCGGTCGCGTCCGTCACCTTTACGGGCAGGCCGAGAATTTTCCTTGTTTGGCGAAGTTGCAAGGCTTGATACATTTACGAGCTGCGGTATCAAATCGTTGGTGGTGCCAGCAGCAAGTCTGCTTGTTGCTGGACTTGGAACATTTGAAGGGCGATTTTGATCGGCTATGACGACGACGATTCGTAGTAAGCTGTTGAACCTGGCGACTGTGTCGCAACTTGTGTTTGCAAGGCTTCTATAGTTGACTGTAAGCCAGTGATAGAAGTGCGCTGGGACGCGACGTCATTGATCTTGCTGGCGTCGGCTTGTGGCTGTGATCGTTCAACAACCCGATCCGCTAAATCTGCTAGTTAAGTGAGCGAAACGGAGCTCACGATAGAAAAAACCGCTTGCATGTTTTCTGGTAGGCGCTGTAGCCATAGTTCGCGAAGTAAACTCTCGTCCACGGTTGAGGAACCAAGGAATTACTGCACCTCTCGTAGCAGTTTGTCGCCTAGCTGCAGATTCCTGAAAAGCTGCTTTAGGCGAACTTTTTCAAAGGGGATAACATGCTTAATCAAGGCCTCCTTGAGAGCCTCATAGCGGTTTTCGGTCTGAGAAATGATAACGTCTCCAACCTGCATTGATATCTCCATGGGGAGATAGGACATGAGCTTGCTATACTTCGCGTAGTCGGAAGTGATTCTGTGGTTATAGAACTCAGCCTCAAGATGAGCGGATCACGAAAGAGGATCTACGTCCCAAAAATGTGACACAGAGAGAGATACAACGCTAAGGAGAGACTCTACTTTAGGGTCTATAGATTCCATGTTTTAAAACAATGAAGCCAACCATAGGCTATCGTATGCAAAAATAAACCGGAAAACATGAAAAGTAAATGGAACGAGCTCACCGGAGAAAAGTTCGAAATATCCGGCGCTGTGATTCTTCCAGAATCGGGGTCACCAATTTAGCGAGTAGCCTGTGGCGTGAACCCGGAGAGCGATTCTAAAATGCAGATCGGATTGCAGGGAAACTTTTATTGGTACAGTGAAAGACTCCCTGTTAACTAGCTATAAGAAACGACACCGTTGATGCTCTAGCTAGGGAAACGGATGATTCACAGCACGCAGGGCAGCCACTCGTTGCAACCGAAACGAGCGCCAAGCAATAATGGCGATGAGCAAGACAAGCATTCGAACTCAGCAATCAGTTCGACAAACCACACTGATCGCCTAGGTGTACAATGAAATAATTTTAGTTAGCATTTTACACAGGCAAACCAGGGAATCTCCATACTGCTACAAGTCTCTTATTTCTAAAACGAGTACCAATCATCTATACCCTGATGTTTAGCTTGATTCTACATCCATCACTATTAAAGATATTACTGGACATACCCTTCCGGTGATAGGATGTTGTACTTTATCTGTGTTAGATTAACATTCTAATCTCGTCGAGTGTAAATTTCTTGTCGTTCGTCAAGGCCCGCCTATTCTCGATCTTAAAGTTATGCAGGTGCTTAAAATAAGTGTCATTTTTCTGTCACACACTGATACTGCCACTCCAACGTCGTGGTTTACTGCACGATTGTTCAGTGACATCTGCTGTAATGCAAATCCCGCCTGTTAATTTGGAAGTAGCCGGGGGTTCTGTTTTCTGTAACCGTTGTACACTTCCATTTGGACTA